CCAATCTTGCAATTAGTGGGATTATCTGTTTACGTTTAACCCACTATGCCACCAAGGCTTCTTTAAAATGTTTTACAGTACACTCAAATATTTGGCTATGTGTATATAAAATCAAAATTGTGTATACATGGTATAGTCCTTTAGATTCCACTTGTCTCAATTTATTACCTACTAGTCAAGAAAAGAATGATGTTTTTCTGAGTACATTACTCCATAAGCCCAAATCTGTTTGCCTGGCTGAGAGCTGTTTAACTTTACTGAACTGTTTAACTTTACTGAATATTCATATGCCAACACTACCCTGCTAAAAATTTCAGGTCCCAGCACTCTTTCCCAGTTTATCCCTTTTGGCCAGCCATCTCTACTGGTCAGTCCCAAACTAAAAGTACTGTCTCTAAACACAGCCACTGTTCTTTCACACAGCTATAAAAACATCCATTCCAGAAAGCCATTAATAAATACTGGATGACCTCATTAATTTCCACCCTGTCCTTGTGGAAAATAGCAGGAAAAGGGAACCTCTGGCATTGCCATTATTTTGACTATTCCTCCATTTTATAAGAACCCCAAACTATGAGCTTTCTCAGGTTTGTAGAGTCACATAATTCTCATTCAGGCAGAGGGAAGGGACCCAGACTAAGAACTCACGGGAGTTGGCATTGGCGATTTCATTGGTCTCATTGGGGTCCAACCAGACCTTCTTCTTGCCACAGCGCAGAACACTGGAGGCAAGCCTCTTTTGAAGCCTGAGCATACTGTGGGGTACAGAAAACACAATCAGGTCCTGGCCTCCAAAGTGGGCTTGGTCAGATGGTGAAACATTCACACACATGGAAAGCGGAGGAAATCTGTATATATGCTTACTATTGTGGGGCATATATACCCCTCTACTGCAAGACTTTGAGCACCCAGACCCAGAATAAGGATCTTCTGAACTTAAATATGTACACATTGCTATATGGGGCAAGACCACTCTAGGATGAAGTCCAACTATACCAACCAGTGCCTCAGTTTCCTTTGGAAATGAATTACGATAAAATTAGGGCTTGTGCCTTTTCTGATGTTAAGCTAAAAAAATTAGATTTTAAAGTATCCGAGGCCAGTGGGGGCACCGTCAAGTCCCACTGCTTTCTGGGCCTTATTACAGTAACAGACGACAACTAGGTGGCTTTGGAAGGTGTTATGAGTGGCCACAGCTGGCAAGAGTTCAAGATCTGGGGACCGCCTCACCCTCGGCCGTCAGGCCTGCGCGAGGTATGTCCTACGTCACATGGAAGTAGAAATCTGCTCGGCTGTAGACACCGCGAGTAAGGGGGCAGCGGCCTAGTCCCCGCTTACCCCCTTTGCTCAGCGGACGTGAGTCGCCCCGAGACACCGTGGAGCGCAGCCCTATTTCGTGTCTCGAGCTCCCAGGACGCTACCCTACCCCCATCCTCTCGGAACCGGGGCCTAGTGTGCTTCAGTCTACCCCAAGTTCTGGAACCGGTTTCTTCAGGGCTGCTGCCATCTCAACTCCCTTTTCTGGGGCCGCGGCACCACGCTCCGCGGTTCCCGCCAACCCAAGGAAGACCAGACCAGAGACCCGCGAACCCTCACCTCATGGCTGCGGCCGCAGCGCCGAAAGGAAAGAACTCGCTCTGGCCTGGCTCCTCCCACTACCTGTGACGGGGAGAGCCCATCCCCCGATTTGTTTTTCCCGAATTTAGGTCAAGTTCTTCGCCTTCCGCCAACACAAACGCACTTATATTCTCAGTTCAGACCTAAGATAATGTAAGCTTAATTATAAATAAGCATTATACTTTAAGAAATATAAAATATGCCCCTCCCATAGAGCAAAGTGGTACAGCCCGGCTTCCTGTTAGGCAAGCGCACAAGGGTACTTGATCACGTGGATAATGGGAGACGGAAGTCAGCAGCTTCGCAGGCGTGGTTAAGGGAATTTTTAAGACAGTGGCCTACTATTGGCAGGCTTCCGGTATTTTCTGGAAGGCTGTTTTACTGGGCTGAGTAGTGTAGGTGGTGGAAACTAGGTAAATAGAGAATAAGGAGGACAGATATCTGGCAAAACCAACCTCATATTCATTCTCAAGGTAGATTGGGACCCACCACCCCAAGCGCAAAATAGATAACCAAAAGATTAGCTTGTGTCTTTAGCCAGTGTTGGATTATCCAATAAACAAGGTTTGTTGTTAAGTGCCATGGAGCCGGTTCTGACTCATAGCAACCCTGTATAGGGTTTCTGAGAAGCGGCTGGTGAATCTGAACCACCGACCTTGCATTATCCCACAGTGCCGTGCCAGAACTCCATAAGCAAGGTGGTGATGATGTACCGTGGCTTATTTGTGCCTGGTATGGTACTGTGGGAATGCGCTGGATTGCAAAATTGGTTTCACCTTTTCAAATGTAAGGTTTTTGACAGGGACAGAGTACTCCATATGCGAAGCAAGTACGCGTTTACATCATCTTTACTTAACTGTAGTGAAATTTTCACATGGGTTTCACCACATGCTTATTGGGTAATCCATCCCTACTTTAAGGAGCTCTGGTAGCGTAGTGGTTACGAATTGGGCTGCAAACTGCAAGGTCAGCAGTTCAAAACTACCAGCTGTTCCGCGGGAGAAAGATGAGGCTTTCTGCTCCTGTAAAGATTTACGGCCTCGGAAACCCTGTACAGGGTCGCTATCAGTCAGAACCGACTCCACGGCACATAACCAACCAACCAATCCCCACTTTGGAGTCCTGGTGTGTCGCTGTGGGTTAATGCGCCAGACTGTAAAGCCGTTCAAACTGCATGGTCGGCAGTTCAAGCTCACCAGCTGCTCCTCATAAACCCTATATAGGGTCACTATGGGTCGGAACCGTCTCCGTCGGCACTTAACAACAACCCCACTTTGATTGGGATACTTTATCTCTTAGTGTCTGCTTCAACCTCTGTAAAATGGAACTAATCCTATTATTTTTGTTATCAAGTTATGAAGAACACAGGATTTAACCTTTGCATTTTACAAAGGCAGTCAGAAAGACAGCTTCATGGAAACACCGTGCCTTATACATAGTAGATACTCGAGCAATACTGTATTGGTAGAATGAATGCATGTGGAAAGTAAAAGGCAAAACAAAGCACAATTCAAGTGGACAGGCATCCGTGTTTCCTGGTGTGGTGTTGTGAGTTAATGTGTCAGACTGCAAAGCCATTTGAACTGCAAGGTCGGCGGTTCAAGCTCACCAGCTGCTCCTTGGAAACTATGCAGGATGGCTATAAGTCGCAATTGACTCGATGGCACTTAACAACAATGCAAAAATCAAAGAAACTAGATATGAATGCTGGCTCTAATTCCTTGCTTTCCTTCAGTTGATTATACCATCTCTAAACCTTCCTGAAAGGAGCTCTGGTAGCGTAGTGGGTACGAATCAGGCTGTGAACCTTAAGGTCAGCAGTTCAAAACTACCAGCTGTTTCGTGGGAGAAAAATGAGGCTTTTTCTGCTGTCTTAAAGATTTACAGCCTCGGAAACCCCCAGAACAGGGTCGCTCAACAGCACTTAACAACAAACCTTCCTGATTGCTGAAGGTCAAAGGGGGAAGAGAAACAATGTTTACTACCATTTATTTCTTCAGTACAATTAATAGCATCCTCCTTTTACACAACCCAGGTCTTTCAGACTACAAAACTCATGTCATGCCGGTCTCTCCTGTCAGAAGGGAGTAGACAGAACCTTGCCCTGGGTTGGAGCTGTGCACAAATAAGTAATGCTAAAGTGTGCGTTCTTGGATTTTTGATACATGTTGTTTCTTCATCCTCACTTCTAGCAAGGCTGACCACTGATTTTCAGTATTCCGTAAGGAGGAGAAGTTCGTTTATCCTACAAGCTCACCTCCAACAGAACACAAAGGGCTGGCTAGAGTCATTGGGACTGGGATTGTTTCTCATCTCTCAGCATGTGTGAAGCAGGAAAAGGATGGAGTAGGGAGGGTATGGGTCCTCTTGCACAGCACCTTACAGCATCTCTGAACCCTAGCAGTGCCTGATTTAATTCTCATCCTCCCAGTAACCCCAGGTGACAAAGGAACCACAGTACCAGCACACACACACACACACACACACACACACACACACACACACACCATTTTACAGGTGAGGAAACAAGTTCATATAGGTGTAGTAATTTGTCCTGAGACACACAGCAGTGAAAACAGATTGGCTCCAATGTCTCTTGCCAGAATTCCTCATTCTTCTTTGGTGAACCAGTCACGGTGGGCAAAGTGCAGGCCTTCAACATTTGTTCCCAAATAAAAGAAGGGGGAGCAATTTTATGTCAGAGGTCATGATACCACCAAGTTTCTTCTCTCTCAGCTTCACATTTCTTCCTCCACTTTTCTCTTCCAAGAAATGGACACCTCACTACCTCCTCTCCTGAATCTTTGGAAGGGCCTCGGGGATCCCAGCAACTGATTAGGGCAAAAAACATCTGGGTCCCTGGGGGATGCCTCTTGCTGCTGCCTCTATTGAGATCTCTCTTTGGCCACCTACTCCAGTCTTAGCACCCAGGAGGCAGCCCTAGAGGGAGAACCTATATGTGCGGTTCAAGTCTGCCTCAGTCCCAGGCTGGGGCGAAAGGAGTTAAAGCCAGGTCCCAGGATCACGGGGACCGGGAAGTTCCGGTGGCCCAAGCAGGAGAAGAATGGGGAGACCCACTGGAAAAGCGGTTGGGACCTGGGGTTGGGACGACGGTACCAGCTATGCCAATCCGAGCATTTTCCCCCATCAGCGCTTGGCATTTAGTGGTAACACCGTTCTCCCAACTCCCAAAGCGGTTTTCTTTTCTTCGGAGCGGGCGGCCCACCTCTCAAGCCAGTCCGAGGTCTGCTTTGAGCCCGGACCCGGGCCGGGAGGGGCGTGCCTGCCTCCTGCCGCCCTCCTATTGTCAGTGCGGAGCTAGTGGAGGGGCTGCGAGGGGCGGGGCCGGGGCGGGCGGGCGGAGGGAGGGGCGGGGGGAGATGCTGAGCCTTCAGGGGCGGAGGAGGCGGCGGCGGCTGAGGAGAGAGAGGGAGGAGGGAGCGAGGGAAGCTGGAAGGGGCTGGCGAAGGCCGGGTTGGGTAGCTGGACCCGGTGCTGGCTGCGCGGCGCTGCTCTCGGCTCCGACGGCCTCTCCAAGCGCAGAAGGCGCCCGGCTGAGTCGGGCCGGAAGCCGGAGGAGAGGCTCCTCTCCATGGTCCAGAAGACCAGCATGTCCCGGAGCCCTTACCCACCCTCCCAGGAAATCCCCATGGAGGTCTTCGATCCCAGTCCACAGGTGAGACGCGGTGGCCGGGCCCGAGAGGAGGGAAGACCACTCCCGTGGACCTCGATGCGGTCAGCTCGAGGGGCGCCTAGGAAGGAAGGGTTCTAAGCCCGACGCGGAAGGGAGAGGGGCGCCTGCGTGCCCCCTCAGCCTAGCGGGTTAATGATTGATGGGCAGTTGGCCCGGAGTTGAGCTGCGGTGCTGCGGAGCAGGGTGGGGGCGGTCGTATAGTCTGTCACCCTCATCTCCCCCGCATCAGGGTCTTTGCTGCTGGGTACCCGTTCCTTTGAGCTAAGAGTGGGGTTGTTGACTGGGGGATCTGGGCCTTCAGAAGGGGAGGCTGAGGGAGGTTGAAAAGCGAGCTCTGCCTAGAGAGGCGACGCCAAGCACGCTGGGGGGCGCTAGGCGGTGGTGGGTGGGGCGGGGGTGGAACTGGGAGATGGCTGAGGCCATACTCACAAGGCGGTGCCTGTAGAGCTTTGGAGCCTGTAGGGCTTCAGAGCCAAGGACACTGACCCTCTTGGGTGGGGGAAGGGGCCAGCCCCAAGCCAGGCTCCACTCCCAAACTCCTCTGGTCCCACCCCTAAGTTGGACCATTTTTTTTCCCCCTGACGCCCACAATGGCTTTCCAAAGTTTGGAAAGTTGGATGCATGCCAACTCACTATCCTGGAGAAGGGGTCACCTGGGGGAGGGGTCTGCCACCATACTCCCACACCTTTTCCAAGCCCTGGGTCATCCCCAGAACCTCAGAAAGGGACATTCTGGATGTGATGGGTGCCCATGTGGTGACCAGCAGGGCTTGGGTGGTCGTGCCTGGAGATTTCGCTGAGATCTAGTAATCTCCAATCCAGCAACATCCCAAGATAGGGCAGAGTTGGCCCTTCTCTTGCTGTGGCGGGCCTGGAACAACTGTAACCACCATGAAAATGTGTTGTGTAGGGGGTCAGGTCAGACCTAAAAATACCTCCCTCCTCCACCCAGGCCCCTTGGAACCCGGGAGGCAGCTGAATGGGCCTTGCTTTCAGCTGTCCTGTCTCTCTGGGTGCCACTCCCTTTGCCAGTTTGGGGTGGTGGTATTGTGAGAGTCTGGAGCTCACTGGGGGAATCCTCTTAGGTGTGTAGGAATCCTCAAACCTAGAGTTAGGGTCTATGTCATGAAAAAATGGCAAAACTGACCTCTGTCCCCAGGTGCCCTCCTCTTCCATCTGTCTCTCCTTCCTGTCCCCAGGCCCTAGGAGTTAGAACCCCTAGTCTGGTCTTGGTTCAGCTAGGTTCTTTGGCTAAAAAAAGCTCTAGACTGGAGGCCAGGAGAAGGGACTTGGAGGGAATGAACTCTCAACAAACCCATCCATTCTAGACTGGTCTGGCATCAAGGGTGTCTATGTGAATTGGGGAGAGGAGGGTAAACTAGAAGCCCCCTTTCCAGGAGGCTTAGAAATCCCCAAAGCCCTTTTGAATTTGTGGCTGCCTGAGGGATGTCAGGCATAGTGTCCATTCCCCTGAAGCCCAGTGCCCCGGTCAGTGTGACTGAGGCAGCTTGGCCTTGGGAGACTTGTGGGGCTAGACCTGTATTAGATTCTGCTTGGGGTGGGTCTGAGGGGCATTTTGATTGATGTTGCCTGGTGGAGACCATAGGGATAGTGGCAGCTGGGGTGGAGGGTGGAAGCTTGATCACTGACTCTTGTCCCCTTGGGGAGAGGTGTGGCTACTGTGATTGTGGGGATGGGGATTGTGAGAAAGTCCTGCTAGAACCCCATGAGGTTGGATGTTGACTCACTCTCCAAGTCTCCTCCCCCCGCTCCCCAAAAGCTTGCTTTGGGTCTCCTAGGGCTGAGAGCTGCCACTCCCCTCCCCACTCTGCGGAAAAATGAAGGGAAAGAGTTGGGCATAGAGATGAAGCCAAGCTGGGCCCTGCGTTGGCTATTTCTCCTCTGTGGGCACCACTAGCACACTCAACCCCTCTCTGGCTCCAGCTGAGACTGAGGGCACTTACCCTGACTTTCTCCGCCCCCACTCCTAGCACTGCAGGCGGTCTTTCCCTTCCCTAGGCCGCTGCAGCCTGCCCTGAATCCTAATTAGCTGTGCTGCCTAATGAGCCTACGGCTTCTCAGTACCTCCCCTTTCTTATCCTCATGACTTGCTTTGGGGGTTTCTGTGTGTGATACTCTAAACCTCTCTGGCACTGTGCCCTACCCCCAGGGGCTGTAGTCTGGGCCCTCTCTGAGAAAATGGGAGACCCTCCCTCCCTTTGGACTATACCACCTAAGGAAGAAGATGGGGGTGATAGGGTGCTGTTCAGATTATGGGCTTGGTGGACTAAGGGTTGAGAATGATTCTTCCTGATTCCACTTTTGCCCCTTCCCTTATTTCCATAGGGCAAATACAGCAAGAGGAAAGGACGCTTCAAAAGGTCGGATGGGAGTACATCCTCGGATACAACATCCAACAGCTTTGTCCGCCAGGTAAGGGGGGAGCTTGGGCTGAGAAGAGGGAATGGCTGGCTGGGGGAGACCAGCATTATTAGTGAGCTGGGTCTGAGGCTTTTTCAGGTGCCCTCCTCTATGTTGTTTGTTACCTGCCTGGAAACACCACTTCACCCTGACACCCCTTGACCTCTCTTGAATGTGCTGTCAGCTGCACCCACTCCTTCAGTCCCCGCCCCCGCCCTGCCCTTCCCCCAGCACCAGTCACCAGCCCCTGCTTACTGCCTGCCTGCGTCATCTCATTCAGGGACAGCCTGGCCTGCCTCCTTCTAGCTTGCTTCAGGCTGTCACCCACTCCCCCTGCCGGCTGTCTGCTTCCATGTCCTCCCCCAGAATCTGTGACAGGGTAGGGTAGAGGCAGGTCTTAAGAAATGAGGAGCTGGGGTACTTGGGTCCTTGGCACCCTAGTTAGGTATGGGTCAGGGAAATGCCCTTCTCACACCCAGATACAGTTGTTTAGTATGCACGGTGACAGTGGCAGGAGGGAGTTGGCTTCACAGAGGACTTTAGTTCAGAACTCCTGACTAAGAAGGGATAACTGAGGATAGTTTTCTAGTCTCTTCTGTTCTCAGCCAGGAAACTGCTACCCACATCGCTATTCTGTCAACCCCAGGCCAGCGGCTGTAAGAGAGACATGTGGTTGCTATGACTACTGAACATCTCAACGAAACTGGTACCTCAGAAAGGAGAGAAGGGCTTGGGATCCAACAAGGGAAAGGAATGAGTTGGAGAGAGAACGGGCAGGGTAAATGAGGGCTGAGGATAGCAGAGGAGAAGGAGCCCCTGGAGACCAGCTCCCGTCCCCCCACTGAGGGCCAGGAGAGAAGGGGTGGTGCCAGACAGACGCACCACAGATTGAGGTCCTTCTTTTCAATTCCTCTGTCTCTATGCTTGTCACATGTGAGCCCAGCCTGACTTGAGAGGGCCTTCCTCCCAGGATTTCCTGAATACACAAGCAGACCGGAAGTCCTCTCTTCAGTCTTTCCCGCCTTCCTCCTGTTGCAGGGCTAGGCCAGGACTAGGTAGAATGGTACTGTGCTTCATGCTGGTCCTCTTGGAAGATGAGCACCTTGGTTCCTTCTGGGTTTCTCAATCCTGGGAGTCAGATCTGTTGCCCGGCTTCAGTCTCCAATCCTTCCTTTTCTCAGATCCCCAGGTCTGACCCCCAATAGGTGGCAGCAAGTATTTGTTTGTGTGGTTTGTGTGTGTGTGTGTGTGGGGGTAGTACTTGCCACATCTCTGAGCTAAATATACTCTAGCAGTTTGCACATGTAGCAACTCTGCTTGTAACCTGAGTCCCCTGGGGGGACGGGCAGTTTGGGCCACCCCTTAGTCCAGCAGGCCAGGCACTGAGGGTGCTGGGATGGAGGCGCCCAGCCGGACCCTTGTGGTGGTGAGCTGGGGACAGAGGTAGAGGGTGGGAACAGCCCCTCAGGAAAGCTGAAGAGGGGGGCCTTCACCCTAGTCTCTCTCCTTGCCTTCTAAGCATTTCCCTGCCTCCCTGCTTTTCGGATGTGTCCTTGTGTGTGTGTGAGGGGAGGTGGGTGGTCAGTAAAGGCCTCTCTGCCTCTCAGTTGCTCTGTCTCTGGATCTGGAGTTCTGACTCCCTGGATTAGTTAGCTTTCACTCGCCTTCCTTAATGTCTTTTTTGCAGCCTCTATTAGTGAGTACTCCACTCTAGCTTTTCTCCCATTGAGTCTCCCATTTCTGCCAATTGTCTGGGCAGGAGAGGGGCAACTGCACTAGCTAATGCCCAGAGGCATCTGAGGGAAGGTGGGACTTTGTCTTCTGTTTTTCCTAGTTCCCCTCCATACCAAGCTAGTGGACATTCCTGGCCAAGAAACCTTTTTGCGCCCTCAGGAAAGGGCCCCCACCTCTTTGCAGTCTTGGTCTTCCTCACATTTCCTTCTACCGCTTGTCGCTGCCCCCACTCTTATCCACCAGACTCAGATCCTCATGGCTCAGCTCCTGCCCCCATATGTCTTACACCCATAGGGGCACAGACACCTAGGGCATCCCTCTGGTGTGTACCTTATGCATTCAGTCACATATATACAAATATTCCATAGAGCACACTCTCCTCAACACACTTGCAGTTGCACATCCAAGCATGTTGATTCACACTAGAGGTCTGTACAGGCTACAGGTGTCTTGCATCCCTACAACAGTTCCTTGGTCAGTGTGGTCAAAACCAGCTTCCTGGCACACCGAGACTTTTGAGCCTGCCTTTACCCTGGCACCTAGCAGTCTTGGGGAAAGGACTGCCCTATCTACTGCCCTTAACTCGTCTCTTCTGCCTGTACCACCCTGGGAATCTTGGGTTCTCTTCTGTATTTATGAGGCCCTGAGGGTTGGTGCACTAAATGGGATGGCCTGGTTCTGGCAATACCACTTAGGAGGAGCAGGAACGTAGGAGTCTGTTCCCAACAGTGCTGTAAGCTCAGCCCTAAACTGGTGGCTACAGTCCCATTGGGTTTCTGTTGAGGCTATTTAGCCAGTGCTGGGGTTAGGGGAGGCAAGAAGGAGCAAGGAGTGGAGACTCAGCCACTGGCACTCCTCCCCTCCACTGGGCCCCTATCATATTCCCACCCCTCCCTGGGCCCCAAGCAGCTGTCCCTAGACCTGCCTTAACCCCCTGCTTGCTGTTGTCACCCTTTCCAGGGCCACACCCCTCCCAAGGGCCTGCAGACCTCACCCTGCTGGACCCTTGGATCTAATACCACTTTCTTCTAGCCTTTGTGGCTACATGTTGGGCTGGCTGGGACTTGTAGCATCCACAGTGGGCGGCACCTTCACTCCTAATCCTGGAGCCGGGAAAGCAGCATTGGCTCTAAACAGGTCTTCTCTGTCTTCAGGGCTCAGCAGAGTCCTACACCAGCCGTCCATCAGACTCCGATGTATCACTCGAGGAGGACCGAGAAGCCTTAAGGAAGGAGGCCGAGCGCCAGGCGTTAGCACAGCTGGAAAAAGCCAAGGTGGGAAACAAAGGGAGAGGGGCTGCTCTGGCATTGTGCTTTTCATCCTCAGGCCTTAGAGGGAGCCCAGATAGACCCAGATCAAGACTTGGCCCAGCCACTTCCTACCTGTGTGCCCCTGGGCCTCAGTAGGCCTTTGCATCTTCTCCTGCCTCCTTAAACAGTGTAATAAACACCTAATACTATTTCCAGTACATAGTAGGTGTTTGACAAATGCTCATTGCCATTTCTTCATTTGACCCAGGAGTCAAACTTCCTGGGCTGGAATCCCAGCCCTTCCTCTTAGCTGTGTAATGTTAGGTAAGTTGGTTACCCTTTCTGAACCTCAGTTTCCTCACTCATCAAAATGAAGACGATGCTAATACTTCATGGAGTTTTTGTAACGACTAGATGAGGGCAAGCATGTAGAAGCTGTAACACAGTGCCTGGCACACTAAACGGGCGTTGCTGTTGTTCACATTCCTTCTGGGCCAATTCTTACCGTTCCTCCATGCCCCCCTGTGCCTCAAGACAGCTGAATTCTATTGTTTGCTTTCTTTTTATTGTGACATTTAACATACATGCAGAAAATGACACCAACCATTGTTGTGTACCTTTGAATGCCTGATTTACAAAGCAAACATCTGTATAATCACCACCCCAGTCAGGAAGTTGAACTCTCTGTCATCCTTCCCCACGCACCTCCTCTAGACCAAGCCGGTGGCATTTGCTGTGCGCACCAATGTCGGCTACAACCCGTCTCCAGGGGATGAGGTGCCTGTGCAGGGAATGGCCATCACCTTCGAGCCCAAGGACTTCTTGCACATCAAGGAGGTGGGGAGAGGACAGAAGTGTGGGAGCCGTGAGACAAGCAGCCAGAGTTGTGGTTGGAAGAAAAAAAAAAGGCTCTGAGCTATAGTTGGGCCGAACCTGCTGTGTGACCTTGGGCAAATCTCTCCACCTCTCTGAACTTCTAAATTCTCATTAGTAAAATAGGTAGTAATACCTAGGTCACAAAGAAGCCTTGGTGGCACTGTGGTTGGTGGTTTGAAACTACCAGCTGCTCTACAGGGGAAAGATGTGACCGTCTGGAATCTGTTTATGTATAGATGGCAGCCTGGAAACCCTGGGGAGGCAGTTCTACTCTGTTCCACAGAGTCTCTGTGAGTCAGAATTGACCCGAAGGCAATGGGTAAATGGGTGGGCCTCCGTCGCAAGGTTATTGGGAGGGTTTGTGACAGGCCTGCAATGGGAGTGACGTGTGCTGGGCACATGTAAGTGTCAGCATTTATGTCTTCAGGGTAATGCCTGCACATGGGGGTGAGAAGTGAGGAAGAAGGGCTTTCAGAACAGGGATGTGCTGGGGGAGGGCCAGTCCATAGCTAGAGAGGATGCTGGGGTCAAAACCTGGTGAGGAGGCTTCTCTGAGGATCTGATCCCCTGGGCAGGGTGGGTCAGTTTAGGAGAGGTTTCCTCTGGAGGGTGGTTGCATCATTGTACCTCTACTTCCCCTCCTGGTCTCCCTTACCTACTCACCATTGTGGTTTGCAGAAATATAACAATGACTGGTGGATTGGCCGCCTGGTGAAGGAGGGTTGTGAGGTTGGCTTCATCCCCAGTCCCGTCAAACTGGACAGTCTGCGCCTGCTGCAGGAGCAGAAGCTGCGTCAGAACCGCCTCAGCTCCAGGTGTCTGGCTGGGGGCGGGGCGCTCCCACTCCTACTCCCTAGGGTTGGCCCAGTGCCCTGGGGACCCAGAGTCCGCCTGTGGCATCACCAGAGGGATTGGAGGATCTCCAGGGTGGGTGGCCCAACTCCTCCCCACCCACACCCCAGTGCTCACAGCTACATTTACCTCTCTGCCCACACAGCAAATCAGGTGATAACTCCAGCTCCAGTCTGGGAGACGTGGTGACTGGTACCCGCCGTCCCACCCCTCCTGCCAGTGGTAAGAGCTACTAGCACCCCAGGAGACTGAGGGTGGGGGCTCCTGGGTGGATGGTCTCCCCACTGCCTGCCCCATCCTTTCCCTGTGATAGAGGGGACCTCAATCCTAAGTCCCCAAAGACATCCAGTAGTAGCCCCTACACAAAGGATAGGAAGCCCTACAAACTGGGTACATTAGCGCCCCCTCTCTTATGTCTCTCCTCCCCCATTTCTTTGGTAGCTCCATCTCTCTGCCTGACTCCCCACCCCCCATTCATTTCCCCCAGTCCTGTTCCATTCACTCTTCTTCTTTCTTTTTTCCCCATACCCATCCCTGCGTTTGTACTTGTGTCTCCACGTGTCCATCTCACTCCTCCTCCCCAACTTGCCTCCTCCTCCCCTCTCTCCTGATCTTTCTCCGGTTGGTCCAGGTAATGAAATGACAAACTTAGCATTTGAACTAGATCCCTCAGAGTTAGAGGATGAGCTGGCAGAGCTTGGTGAGCAGAGTGGCTCCGCCAAGACTAGTGTTAGCAGTGTCACCACCCCGCCACCCCATGGCAAACGCATCCCCTTCTTTAAGAAGGTAATTCCCATTGGGTTCTTGAAAGAGGGAGGGGGCCAGCACCCAGCTCTTTGGTGGAGGGAGGGAGGGGACTGAAATGGCTTCAGATCTGGTACCAGCCTGATTCTGTGGGGATGAGGGCTTTCTGCTGAGGAGAAGAGAAGGGCGGCAGGGCACAGAGACCTGGCCACATTCATCTCCATATATGGCCCCACCCTTGTCCCCAGGAAGAGATGGTTCTTGTGATCCCTTGCCCCCTGGGATAAGCTATGGGAGGCTTTCTAACACCTGTTCCTAGATCTACCTCCCATTCCCCCCCACCCCCCACTCTCCCTGGTTCTTCCTGGAGGGCTGCCCCACGCTGAGGGAGCAGGGTCTGGTGATAATGAAAGCTGACCTGCCCTCTTGCTGCCAATGGGGTATTCCAATGCTTGTCCCTACTCCTGGCCCATGTAAAGGGGAATGGTTATATCTTTGTTCTTTCTTGGACCCCAACAGGCTAGGGTGGGCACATGGGGGTCTACTAACTGCAGAGTAAGACAGTCAAGGGACCCCTTAAATGTAGGGCAGCTTGCCATGTGCTGAGGGAAGGAATTGGGCACCAAATTAGGGGTCAACTCCCTTCCAGCTCTTCTAAGACCCAGAAAAGGGGTGGGGCATGTCTAAATCTAACTAAGTCACTAGACTGAGGGTCAGTCCTGCTTCCAGCTCTGATCCAGGGTCATCTCTGGCTCCCCCCTTAATGGGGTCATGTCCCTCTTTCTGGCTCTGTCTGTCACTAACACGCATGCCCTGTTATCTCTCCTCGTCTGCCCGCTCTCCCTCTCTTGTCCTGGTGCCTTCCTTGCCCTCTGCCCCCGCCTGGGTCCCCTACCCTTCCCCTTCCCCTTTTCCCTCTTGGCAATCTCTGGACCCAGCCAAACAGAAGCAGAAGTCGGTGAGTATCACAGCTTTCTGTGTCCCTCCCCTTGCCCCCTGGGATAAGCTATGGGGGGGCCTTCTAACACCCATTCCTGGATCTGCCTCCCCTTCCTCCAACTCTTCCTGGTTTTTCCTGGCCATCCCTCACTACCCCCACCTCAACCCCCACATCTGGGATCTGGGACCAAGTGGGGAAAGGATGCATGGGGGTGCCTGGAGACTGGGGGAGAAAGGCTAATGCCATCTCCACTGTGGGGTTTCCCCTTCCTGCTTCCCCCCCCAGACAGAGCATGTGCCCCCCTATGACGTGGTGCCTTCCATGAGGCCCATCATCCTGGTGGGACCGTCGCTCAAGGGCTATGAGGTAGGAGCCCCTGGAGGGGAGTGGTCCCAGAGGGGCCCAGACCTCCAGAGAGACTCCATTGAGAGGTCTCCAGACCCCATAGAGGTCCCCGGAAAAGCCCAGGTCCCTAGGGTGTCCTCTCCAGAGACTATAGAAACCACCCAGAAGGACCCAAAGCCATAGGGAAAGCCACCTGGAGGGACCCAGTCCCCCAAAGAAACCCTTTATACCAGCCCAGGTTCTGAGATACCACTTACTTAGAAGGACCTTTGGTACCAGAGACCCCATTAGAGGCTCCTCAGACCCAAAGGGAACCCCAGGAACTTAGGAAGAAAATGGAATGTGAGGCTGTAACTACCAGCACCCCCTAACTGAATGTCTTTAAGTACCTGACTCCTCTCTCTCCCCCACACTCCAACCCCAGGTTACAGACATGATGCAAAAGGCTTTATTTGACTTCTTGAAGCATCGATTTGATGGCAGGTAAGACCCTCCATAGGAGCTGGCTTCCCTCTCCCACCATAGTTCTCTGCTGGGGGTGAGATGCAGGATGGCCTAATGATAATCCTGAGATTATTGCACTGAGGGATAAGGGCATCTCCACCCACCCTGACCCCTGGCTTCCTTCCCTTGACCTGTCGCCCAGAATCTCCATCACTCGTGTGACTGCAGACATTTCCCTGGCCAAGCGCTCAGTCCTCAACAATCCCAGCAAGCACATCATCATCGAGCGCTCTAACACCCGCTCCAGCCTGGGTGAGGAGGCCACCCCCTCATCCCCTCCACCCCCAGCCTTGGAGCCAGATGTGGGAGGGGTGGGAGATGGTAGGCGGAGCTTTCTCTAGAAGTGCTCTGTCTATCCACTGCTTCCTGGCAAGACCCCCTTACACTTCCCCCTCCCCATGACACTCTGCCCTCCAGCTGAGGTGCAGAGTGAGATTGAGCGAATCTTTGAGCTGGCCCGCACCCTTCAGTTAGTAGCTCTGGACGCCGACACCATCAACCACCCAGCCCAGCTCTCTAAGACTTCGCTGGCTCCCATCATTGTTTACATCAAGATCACCTCTCCCAAGGTGAGTGCTGGAGTTTGACCCTGCTGGGGACAGCATGGTTTCAAGGAAATGTTCTGGAGTTAGACTGCATGAGTTTAAAGCCCAGCTCCATTGTTTACTAATTGCATAACTTAGGCTCCCTCAGCCAAAATATCCTTCTTTGTAAAAGTCCCTCAGTGTGGACATTGTGAAGAGTCAACCTAATGTGGACAGACAGCACTTACTTAGCAAAGGGCCTAGTACAAAAAACTTTATCATGTACCAGCTCTTTTAGCTAGTGTGAATATTATTAGGATTGTGCAGGCCAGTTTCCCATCTCCACTTGGGCTGACCTCTGATTCTTGGTCCAGTAAACAGAGAATCCTGTGTCATTCAGCTACTTGGCAATTGGGAGGTCTTCTGATTTTAGCCCTTTTTGCTGCATTGTCCTCATTTGGACCTTGATGGAGAAGAAACCAGTAGAAAGGTTGCTAGAATTCTCTGTCATATTGCAGGTCCGTTAACTTTCTTTCCTAGAAGTTCATGGGGATTTGATAAAGATGGAAGGAAAATTTAGGTAAAGAATTTGAAGTCAGAAGACAGCAAAAAATCTTGGAGTTAAAATCTTAGCTCTATTGTTGTTTCAGTGAGCTAGGGATCTTAGGGGAATGATTTAGCTTTTCTGAGCCTTTTTCTTCACCTATAAAATGGGGATCATCAAACAAACTCAGAGGTCTCTTTCTAGCTTCAGGTTGTAAGGGATCAGGAATATACAGTAGATTTATAGCTAGCAAGAACTATGAGCATGTCAGTTGTCATTTGTAACAGCAAGATATTATTTGATTTCCTGTTTTCTATGGTTTTGTTATTGTTAAGTGCTGTTGAGTTGGTTCCAACTCATAGCAACCCTGTATAGGGTTTCCAAGGAGTGGTTGGTGAGTTTGGACCATTGACCTTGTGGTTCAAACTGACCTTATGGTCAAGTGCTTATCCTACAGTGCCACACTAGGACTCCAATATCCAATGGAAGACTAAAATGGACTACGTTGACATATTGTTGTTGTTGTTGTCAGGTGCCATCGAGTCGGAACCGACTCATAGCGACCCCATGCACAGCAGAATGAAACAATGTCCGATCCTG